TTAGGGCTATATTTATGGTAATCTCTTAGGAGATGACCAACTTTTGGACATTTGGAACAAAACAAATCCTTTTAACTCTTCCCTTTAGGTGTAGACAAATTTCATGAGTTATTAGTAATAGACTACTATAATATATTTCCACTCATATTGTCACATAACATACCCTTTTTTACTTATTCTTGTTTTGAACATCAAATTTGGTATAAGTTATTACTATAATTATTACAAATAAATACTATAAATATTATCTAAGAATTTTTATTTCATTTACTAGTCATATTAATAGGAAATAAGCAATAAATTTTGTTACATAATAAGTTTTATTAGTAATAAAACAATTAAAACTTTATTGGAGTTTTCAAATGAGTTCTCAAATTATTGAATCAATTAAACAATAATAGTTTGAGATAATAATAGCCTATAAATTACTACAAATCTTGTCAATCACTTTCATACAAATCGCAAATGAGTTACAAATGAAGTGAATAATGAAAAGGAGTACAGATTCTGTATTCTGTACTACAGAATGAGAATCACATGAATCTGAGATTCTGGTGCTAAACGGATATACAGTATACACTATTTTACAGTATATTTCGTGAATACTATCGTACTGTCTAACAATTTATATACTTATTTGAACAAGGTTCTTATTTAACCGATTAAAATGCAATTGATCTACCTAAATAAATAAATAAATAAGAATGAACAAGGTATATTTGGTGAGAGCAGGCATTGGCTCATTATAGGTGATACGCCCCTAAGAGGCGTATTCTGCACTCAATCCCCAAATAATTGTAAACATAAACACGAGTTGTGTTGACACGAGTGGCTCACAGACACACACTTTGACACCACAGGTATCACTGGACTCACGAGGGATATGGACATCAAACCGGAAAACATGCTGTCATTGAAAGGTTTGTATTGAGAGTTGAATTATAATTGATTTAATGGTTTGAATGCATTGTCTGACAGTGGGTCGGGTTGTGTCCAAACAGACACCTGTCAAGCATTTCATCACTCAAGAGGAATATAACTCATACATTGGAACCGATGACACGATTGAGACCTTAAGACTGGCCCCCAATCTGACTGAAGAGTGGCGTCTTTTGCCGCAGAACTTCGGAAACGTATATTTGGGCGAAACGTTTGCTTTTGTCATAAACTGTACCAACGATTCGGTCAAAGAGATGGTCACCGATGTTGTCGTCCGCATTGACCTACAGGTCGGCAATCGGGCCGTCATTTTAGGCGAAATGAAAGCATCGGTTTTGGACGCAAAGCAAAGTCTGAACGATATTATGAAACACGAGGTCAAAGAACTGGGTCCTCATGTGTAAGTCGGCACACAATGTGACCACCGATTGACAACTCATT